TTGTCCTTGGTTAAGTGCCTTCAGCCTTGCTTGAATTTCGACAATGACCTCATGAAACTACACAAGCACATCAAGAAACACATATTCCAATTTCATGGGCTTGAATTTCACAAGTTCTTTTTCCTGAGGAATCCACAACTTCCTTCTTCAGTGTGAATGATCACACCACCCCGCCCCCAACACACACACACACTCAGATTGGAAATACCTTTTAACTCCATTTAACACCATTATGTTAAATAACACACCAAAACATAGAACAAGCCACAAGAACAATTTGAATAACAAAGAAACCATTTTTTTTCTCCTTCTCTTCTCTCTTTCTGTTCCCTTCCCTCCTCTTGCTCTTAGCCTTAAAGTTAGGAGGAAAAAAATCACTTAGTGCATGCTATAGAGCTATTGAAATCCTTTTAATCTTAGGACAAAAGGAACCTGTTTCTATATCTCCTTCCCTGGAGAATCAATCTATGCCCAGGGACTCTAACTTGGAGATTTCCTTGGGACTCTAACCCAAGCACCACCATCTGGCCAGGACAGTGTAGGCATGACTCATACCCATCACACACAAGACTCAAACCTCTGTTGAGTACAGGACTCAAACCAGTATTATCACACCTGTTCCCTTTTTTGTTCAAAGCACAGCCATGAGATTAAAGTGTTGCTGTGGGCATTCTCTTCTAGTCCCTAAACAACCTGCCTGACAGCCACTTTGTGTACACCCATCCATCAGTCAATCCCATCATGCTATGTCACAGCATGAGATTTGGGAACCAGTCTTAAGATGTTTGTGGCACTTTTACCTGCTTTCCACAATTCAGCTTGAGACTGGTGTCCTATTGCTTTTAACTGCTACAAGCAGCCCCCAGGAGATTGCTTGGCTGACCCACATTAATTTTTGAATGGTGCTCAAAACTTTTTATGCTCTGTTTTAGCCCCAACTGGAGCTGAAACTTCTTGGGCTGGCCCCAGAAATTCATCTGAAGTTCATGCCATATTGATTCTAAGAGGGATTTCTTCGACCCAATCCTGCCTGGATCTTTTAAACTGTGATCAAATAACCCTTGGGGAGAAAAGAAATGGCCTTGGGCACTCTGAGAAGGCCAGTGCAGAAAAAGTTTCCACAATGATTTCAGGCCAAAAAGCAGGGAGCAAAGCCATCTTGGGTGCATTTTCTATTTTAGCTTGGCTGCTGCAGGTTCTTCTGGGTTTGGCCTCATGGAGGCAGTTCAAGGAACAAACCTCTTAGCTTCAGACTCTTCATAACTGGAGGTATTATTCCATGAGCAGTAGCCATCTTTGATTTTAGTAGCCAGCTATCACCTTTAACTCCAAACGACCTGGTATTTCCTGTGCTAGTGTCCTATTTCTCTGTTCCTCTAGTAAAGTTCCAAGGAGGAGGAGGAGGAGGAAGAGGAGGAGGAGGAGAGTTTTTGCTTTTAACTTATCAAATCCAAAGGTGAAGCAAATTCTAGGAGCCTGAACACCCTTATGCATCAGTTCTGTTGAAAGCTTAGGCTTCTGGCTATGTGTTTAAAAATGCCATCAGCTGGAGAAAATCCAACAAAAGCTGCTTATAGACAACCTTGCATCCTACTAAAATGCCTTCTGAGGTAGCAGCAAAAATTCTGCACTGAAGACATTCACTCCAGCAGCAAAATAATAACTTTAAAAGAATGGATAACAGCAAAGGGAACTCATGGCTGCTCGAAAATAGCAAGAGGAGGGATGGAGAAAGAGATGGGTTTGCAGAGAGAGACATGTGTTTGCTCAACAGTAGGTTATTATGCTTACTTGATTCAGAGTGGCTTGTCATGTTGTCTATGATGGCTTAAGTGGCTTAACCAACCAGAGGAGATGTGATATGTTCTTGTGACTAGTTGTGATGCTTGAATCTGGCAGCAGGAGTTCTGAGTGGCTTGTTCAAAGGAGCTAAAGAAATGCCTGGTCAGAGTGACAGAAAACCCAGACCACTCCTCACGATATCCTCTTCCCTTCCCTCTTTGTTTTGCACTTCATTTGACAGTGACTAGCTTTATCTCCTTGGAGGAGCCAAGTTACACACATGATGAACTGCACCTCCATGGAGCTGGGGTTGTAGTGGGAGGAGAAAGGAAGAAAATCTCTAGCCTCACCTCATGTTTCCCCTTTTGCAGAGTGTGTTACTGTCTGCAGAATTTAACAGTTGAATTGCAGTAATTAAAATCAAAATTATCAAAGATCAAAATGTCTTTAATTTACAGTAAAAGGATACAATTGTGTTATACAAATATGGAAACTGTTTAACAGGTCTATCTTCTTTGCTTTGATATTTTTATATTGCCAGTTATTAGCACCAAACCAGTTTTAAGGGACAGAACATGTTCTTCCTCTCAGTCTTGGGATACTATTCTCAACCGTAGCTAACTTTTCTCCAAATGGCTAAGGATGGCCATGGTCTATTGAGTGCAGCCCTTTTTAGCTATTTGCACTCCACAACACACACACAAAGTGCAAAACTTTGTAATTTTTGAACAGAGGCCCAAGACAATAGATGAGGTGGCAAAACTGCTCTTGGAATGGATTGTTATAGACTGCAGATGGGGGATTGCATGGTTGAATACTTTCCCATGGAAGAAAGGAAATTCCTGCACATTAAACAAGTCTGCAATCGTGCTTCTCTATGTGCTTGTTATTTTTTTAATGGAGGCACATCAGTTTTCTCCACCTGAGATTTGAAGTGGTACAGTTGAAGATCAGCTTTACTGCAAGCATGAACTAACTGAAAGTCTAAATAGTCAAACCAATATGTCTATGTTACTGACATCAGTTTTGATGTCTGAAATTCATGTGCTTTGTACTGTATAAAGGTCGCTCCGAATCTGTTCCCAAACAACAGCAACAATGTTCAGTAGAACGTTGCAGCTAGGATAATTTCTGTTCTACAGTCAACATTAGTCGTGGTGACAGCTCTGCTTTTAGCTTCTATTTTCTCCTGATTTGAGAGAGCTAGGTTACAATTTTACGAATAGCTTACTCTAACATGATTGCTGCTTCTTTAGTTCCAGTGACCTAGTCCTGTGTTTTCTCCACAGACTTACATTTTCACAGAGCAGCAAGATCTTTTGTGACAATTTAAATGCATTTCCTTCAAATGTCATTTAGTTGTAAGGAAACATAGTCTCGATTTAGGTGAACTCATTTCATAACAAAATATGAAAACACATTTCTTGACTATAAAAGGGCAGCTTGCACATTGACAGAGAGTGCTTTTTTAATGCCATCACAGTGTTATGCAGAGCTAGTTCTCCTATTTCAAAGGTGGCAGCTAATGCATTTATTGTGGTACAAGCTGCATCCACTTCATCAGATGTATGAACTTAGGAAATACACGTATATACTAAAATTAATCATGGTGATGCTACCAAAACCATGAAACCTGTAACTTCCATATCAGGCAAGGGTAAACTTATGTCAGTCTTACACAATCTTCTACTTCCCCCCCCCGCCCCTCCTCCTCCTCTGTTTCCCCTATTTCATTTCATTTCATTTCATTTCATTTCATTTCATTTCATTTC